CAATGATTCTTATGTCTACATAATGGAAAACCACTGCATAAATAGGTGCCAGATTCAAAGACTATATATTTTAGAACATAATTAAGAATACTCTACCAAAAGTAATATTATTTCAAAATAACAGCAGATCAATGTATTGATACCATGAGCAATAGGAGAGAGAACTTTATCTAAGAGAAGTTAAGATCAATTTCTTGAGGCAATAGTGGTAGCAAAACAAGAGAACACATTGGTTAAATTATTAGAACTATACATATTAAAATCTAGGTACTAGTGTATGTAAATTATGCATTAATTAGAGAATTTTGGAAACAAGAAATAAGAAGTAATGCAAGATGTGTGTTCCCACTAACAATAAATAACTCCATCCCAGACACTATTTAATTGCTTCTCCCTAGGAAAGCAAGATGAAGGCTGCAGATATTCTCATGGGAGAAATCTCCAGAGATCTCCAAGCCTATCTGATTCTCTCCAGATCCATAAATTTGCCTTCTAAATCCCAACATGATCAGTGCCAGCTAGCATTAGAAGGGCTTCATCGGATTTTACACTCTGCTGGACATCATTTATTCATTTGAATGACAATAGCTGTTTAGTACATACAGGCCAGCTTCTGAACTGAGGATTTTCTTTGAGATTTCAGCTATGGTCTGGGGAAACATGGAAAAACAAATTCTACATTGATAAGGCAGGCACTACTGGCTAGTGCCTGCAATTCTAACTACATGGGCAACTGAGATAGGATAGTTGGGACCACAATTCAAAGCTATCTCAGGCAGGAAAAAAGAAAGTTTGTGAGACCATTTTCTCAACAAAGGACTGATCGGGATGGGGTATGCCTGTTAGCTTAGCTCCTCAGAAGCCTGACATAGATGGATGATATCCAGGCAGTCAGACAGAAAGGGAGAGTTTACCTCTACAATAATGAGCAAAAAATTTACAGCTGGAGACATGGCTGTGTGGTAAGAAAAAAATTACCTGAGCATCTGAGTTCAAATTCCAAAACTTTTATTTTTAAAAAGCATATTCATAGACTTCATAAACTGTTCATAAGATGCCTTATAGACATCTCTTATGTGTTATTTGTAGTCACAATTTGTACAATACATGACAGCCATAATCTTATCAAAATTATTATGCGAAAAAGGAGGAGGCAAAGGACTCTTCCATGAAATAACAAAAAAATAGTGCTAGGTTTGAAAGTTGATCTATAATAATGTATGTTTCTCCATTTCCGCTGCCTTAGATGACTTGGATATTTTTGACCACTACATGAGAGAGAGCAGTTTCTTTAAAGGTATATATGCAATATTCTATATGGAATTTTTTATGACTTCAGACTCACTGCTCTGGACTGACTATTATTTCTCCTCCAGGAAACTGGTAAGTTTCTATGTCCTAAAACGTTGTTAATGAGAAGTACAATGCAGTCAAAAGCAGTGGGGTCCATGTGCCTAGCTGTGAGTTATTTTACAGGAGAGAGAGATGGCCTCGATCAATACTGTAAAACTCAGTGTCTCTTATGCAAATGTTAACTTTTCCTCTGTAGAGAGGTGAGATAGTATCGTGAAACATCATGTCCATGTCTCTAAAAACATGAGCAAAAAAATAACAAGACACTATGTGATTGATGATTTTACCTATCATTAGATGTAAACAAACAAGCCAACACAGAAAAACAAGCACACAAAAACCCAGAAGAGTGAAAAGGATGATTTATTAAACTACAAATAGCTAGGATGAGGATTAATGTGCTATGAAATTCATCTTAGCCTTACAATCTCATACTTATTACAATTATTATTGTTATAATTGCACTTATTGTTGACAATAATGGAGCTAAAGCATACATTTTTAGTTAGGTTGAAGATGGCTTTAAGTTAAAGCTTGTCTCATACAACCTTTATAAATTTAGAAGATAACTTCTAAATGCTCAATTGTATTAATGGCCAGGTAGTAATAAAAACAATCATTCCAATCTCACACAAACACATACACATACAAATACACAAGTAGATATGCATAACCTCTCACATTCATAAAGACCTCATAGTTGATTGTAGAATGTAGTATTTTCTAAAAGTGATTAAGAGTTAGCCAACACAATGTCTGAATATGGCAGACTCATAAACTTAAATAGACAAAGGTTCAATAGAAAAATAGTAGGTAATAGCTGTTACTTTTCTAACCATCTTCTTCTAATGGTTTCATTACAAACCAAGAAATGTAAAAGAGTGTTTTGGTTCACACATGTACCTACAATTACTTAAAAGGCTGAGAGTCACAGGAATCACTCAGGCTTGGAATTCAAGACCAGCCTGAATAACATAGTGAGAGCTAACCCTCCCCCTCCCACAAACAAAAGACCTAAAGAAAGAAATTTAAAATGCTGTTACTATGTGACAACATATTTAAATTTTAAAAACCCTGCAATCTAAGGATAGCCTATAAAGCACGGGGTGGAGAGGCTTTCCAGCCTTGATTTCTATGATTTGGCTATGAAATGACAGTAACAAAGAAGACTTTGCTTAATAAAAAATAACATTTATGTCCAAAGAACAAGAAAAGTCAAGAAAGAAATCCTGAGAAAGAGGAACATAGATTTTTCAGAGCAGCAATCAATGCTCAGAGTCAGGAAACAAGAAAGATTAAAGAGTACAGAAAAATGGAAGAGAGGAAAGGAAACTTGGGAAGATTTTAGAAGTCAAAGTCGTCTGTAACTGAAGACCTGCATGTCAGCATCTACTTCGTCAAAACTCACATAAAAGTCATTATCCCACCCTAATACTAACACAATTACTAGACCTCATTATCAGTGTTCAAGACCTGGGATTTACTAGTTTACATTATCTTATTATTTGGGCAGCAGTGAGGGGTTGGTCTCAGAGCTATGCACCTGCTGGACATATGCTCTACTATTTCAGCTATGCCCTGCCATTAATTCTCATTCTTCAATGCAGGCCTCACTACTATCTTTGAAGGTATTGCAGATGGAAATGGTGTTCAGGGAAGTCGGGGTAGGATCAGGGAGTCCTAGAGGGTAGTTGTAGGTATGGCAAGCATTCCTCCCAGCATCCCTCCCATGAATCCAAGCTCTGTGTCTCCTGCATCTCATGATGTGCTGTTTGCAGAATCACATCTACAGGTTGAAATTGCTCCTGTGTCAGTTTTCCCACCACCTCCATGATGAGTAGAGCTGTGGTACATTGATTCAACAGTAAAACTCTTTCTCAGCCTAATTTTTTTATTGTGAAAATACTGTACAGAGGGGTTACAATTACATGGGCAAGATAATGAGTACATTTCTTTTTTTTTTTTAATTTAATTTAATTTTATTTGTGAACATACTGTACAGAGGAGTTACAGTTACATGGGCAGGATAATGCGTACATTTCTTACCAAGCATTGCAGCCTCCTCCTTTGTTTACCCTTCACATCCCTTCCCAGCCTCCCCCTCCCCCCCTAATCCCAATCCTTCTCCTTCCCCCCCCCCTGCACCCCCCCCCTCCCCGCACCAACGTTGTAAAGCTCGTTTTGGACATGACAACTTGTACTTCTCATTGTTGCAACAGGTCCACCTGTATCCTTAAACAACTGGTTTTTCCCCATCTCCTCCACAAGTTATACTGACATCAAATATAGTGAAAGCAGGGGTTATACTGTGGGGGAGGGACATACAAAGCAACAAAGAGATAATCTTATAAATGATGAGTACATTCCTTATCAAGCATTGTAGCCTCCTCCTTTGTTTCCCCTTCCCATCCCTTCCCATTCTTCCCCCTCCCCCACACCCAATCCCCCTCACCCCCCCACCAAAGCTGTAAAGTTCGTTTTCGACATAACGACTTGTACATCTCATTGTTGCAATGGGTCCACCTGTATCCCTGTTTAAACGATTTGTTTTTGCCCTTCCCCTCCACAAATTATACCGACATCAAATACAGTGAAAGCAGGGGTTATACCATGGGGAAGGGACATACAAAGCAACAAAGAAATAATCTTATAAGTGTGTTAGAAACAATCGCATGAAAGAAAAAAAAACATTTGAATACTTATCTTAGGGTTCATTTCCCTAACATCAACTTAACCTTATTTGCAATAACTAGTATATGTCTGATTCAGCCTAATTTTTTAAAAACCTTGTTTTTCTCTGTATCACAATAAATATGTGCAGATTGGCTGGTAGTAATGAGCATCAATTGGGGTTGAGGGGTATTAAAATGTCATTCAGAAAGTTTCCACTGCTTTAGGATGCTTTTGCAGTTGAAAGGATCATTCATTTTTCTGATTTTGTCTGTTTTACCTCCAATGAGATGGAACTGTATAGTGAAAAAGATATTAGTGAAGTTACACTATTTAAACATTTACACCATTCCTAGGAAACCACTTGAATCCACAAAGAAATTTAGTTATTTTCATTTTGTTTAAATTTAGTTTAGACTTAAACTTGAGAACCACTGGCTATGAGCTACATGTTGCTACGGATCTGAAGAACAGATTTCCAGAGAAAACTTGAGCAATATAAATACGTTACTCAGTTGTACAACTTCACTTATATGAACCTAACAACCAACCAATCTCACCTAGCCTGTAAACAGCCACTTATGGCAGATGACTGACAAAGAAAAGTGGTCTTTTACTGAGCTCAGGAAAAGTGAAAAGGTAGCGAGATTCATGCGCACAAGTCATCTCCAGTATATCAAGTTATTTTTGCTATTATTGCTACATTCCGTTTATAAATCATAAAATTTATAGGAAATTGGGAAGATGCTCCATTAATATTCTTTGAAGTACGCAGCCCTCTATGTATTTTTTGAAGTACCAAATTGAAGTGCCAAATCTGGTTTTCAGGCTTTAACTACAGAATCAAAATACAACTTGTTGTTCAATGCAAGACTGTGCATTGTAGTTATGCTTTATCATTTCAATTCATTTTCTCTATCATGGAATTCCTTCTTTTTGTTAATGGCTACAGAGCACCCAGTGACTTTCACTTAACGGTGATGGAGAACAGAACAGAGGTGACAGAGTTCATCCTGCTGGGACTGACGAAGGACCCAGATCTACAAGTCCCCCTCTTTATCACCTTCCTGATCATCTACAGCCTCACGCTGGTTGGGAACCTGGGGATGGTCCTCCTGATCCTCTTGGACTCGCGTCTCCACACCCCCATGTACTTCTTCCTCAGTAATCTCTCTCTGGTGGACTTCGGTTACTCTTCAGCTGTCACTCCCACAGTCATGGCTGGGCTCCTCATGGGAAACAAAGCCATTTCCTGCAATGACTGTGCTGCTCAGATGTTCTTTTTTGTAGCCTTTGCTACTGTGGAAAATTACCTGTTGGCCTCCATGGCCTACGATCGCTACGCAGCAGTGTGTAAGCCCCTCCACTATACCACCACCATGAGAGCTAGTGTGTGTGTCTGGCCATAGGATCCTATGTATGTGGCTTCCTGAATGCCTCCATCCACATTGGGGACACATTCAGTCTCTCCTTCTGTCAATCTAATGTGGTCCATCACTTTTTCTGTGATATCCCAGCAGTCATGGTTCTCTCATGCTCTGATAGACATGTTAGTGAGCTAGTTCTTGTTTATGTAGTGAGCTTTAATGTCTTTTTTGCTCTCCTGGTTATCTGGATATCCTATATATTCATTTTTATCACCATCTTCAAGATGCACACAGGTGCTGGACATCGGAAGGCTGTGTCCACCTGTGCCTCCCACTTCACTGCGGTCTCCATCTTCTATGGCACGATTATCTTCATGTACTTACAGCCCAGCTCCAGTCATTCCATGGACACTGACAAAATTTCATCTGTGTTTTATACTATGGTCATCCCCATGCTCAACCCTGTGGTCTACAGCCTGAGGAACAAGGAGGTCAAGAATGCATTCACAAAGATTTTGTTGGAGGTAAAATAGGATTTTTTAAATTTTATTTATTCACTATTCTCAAAAGCAGCTTGGAAATGACTCAGAAAACTAAACATAGAACTACCTTATGATCCAGCAATACCACTGTGGGTCATTAATCCAAAAGATTAAAAGTCATGATACAATAAAGCCACTTGCACAACCATGATTATTGCAGCACTCTTCACCACAGCCAAGGTATGGAATCAGCCTAGATGGCCCTCAATGGACTACTGGATCAAGAATATGACACACACACACACACACACACACACACACACACACACACACACACACACACACAATGGAATTTTACTTATCCAACAGAAAGAATGATACTATTTGTAAAGATATGGAAGGACCTAAAAAGAATGAAGTCAGGACCAGAGAGACGAAGGAAGCATGTTTTCCCTTATATGTGGAAGCTACCTTTAGCTTATAAACTTGTAATTAACTACATTGGGTAGCATGCAGGTGTATATAAATATATTCACTGAAATATGGTAGGTTCGAGGGAGATCTTAAAGGTGTAATTCTTTAGAAAGTCAAAATCAAACTTCAGTAAAATGAAGGAAGTGGGTACTCGAAATGGGTGGGGTGAAATCAAAGGGAAAGAGGTAGATGAAAATGAAGAGAATGAAAATGTGGTCAAGAATCTAATATACATCCTTATATTTTATCATTTTATGAATGTAATTTCCCTATTTATATTATTTTATTATGCTTTATGAATTTGACACCATTATAGCAAGTGTAGAAATGAAGGTGTGGTTCAAGTGGTTGAGCACCAGCCTGGAGTGAAAAAGCTGAGCAAGAGGTCAAGGCCCTGGTTCAATACCCAGTACTGGAAGGAGTCAAAATACTTACAACAAGTGTTTTGTAGAAGTTGATACTAATGAGTACTTACTATTAAATGCACAATTATCCCAAGCATTCAACATGGTCTGACGTATTACAGTCACCTACTCCAATGGATAAAAGTATTATGGCAATTGTATCAATGATGGAAATGGATGATAGGAAAGTTAATGAAAGTGACCTACAGTTTCTGGAGGGAAGTTTCATATGTATGTTTGATTATATATGTGTGTGTGTGTGTGTGTGTTTTATGCCAGTCTTTATGTGTTTTTTGTTGTTAATATTATTATATTTTATTATTAAGTAGTTGTACAACCTGTTTGTATAATGCAGTTGTCATTCAACAGGTTTTTCCTATAATTGAGTCTCATTTATGAACTAGAAAAAGAACTACAATACACTATATTTCTTCAACATGCTGATTTCATCAATTTGGGTATACCTCCAAGGCTGGTAGTATTGGACCACATTGTAGTCCTATTTGTAATTGAGGAATCCCCTCATTATTCTTCACAATGGTCATAATGACTTCATTCCCACCAATACTCTGCAAAAACTTCCCGTTTCTCCACATCCCCATCATCTCTGTTCGACCATGGCCATTCACAATGTGATAAGGTGATACCTCATTGCAGATTTTACTATTATAATTTCCCTGAGGATTTTTATCTTCTAAGAATTGTGTATTCAGGTCTTTCCCACATTTTTATCATTTTTTTAATTTTTAAATTTTTGCTGGGTTTGGTTTCTTTACATGTCCTAGATAATATATATTATATATTATGCGTATAATAATATACAATAATGTGCTAGGTAAATGTTTTCTCTGGAGTCAAAATACATATTCATTAACAAATGAATAGAAATGTATGACTGTATGATGCTCTTATTTTGCTTAAATGATAAGGTTGCTTCCCAGAGGAAAAAAGTGTATGTGTTATCATAGTTATAAAACTCTACATGTTTAAACCAATCCCTTAACTTGGAATTTAATAGTATCAAGATAAACAGCAACATGAGATGGATCTCCCAGGAGTATGATGTTAGAGCACTATTTTAAAGTTCACTTTTTAAATATTTCAAAGGAGTGCCCTATGACGTAATCACTAAAATATAGTACAGTGTCTAAGCTAGCATCAGCCACTTAATACCACAGCCAAGTGTTGTGTGCTATATGTAATTGTAGTACTACACATATGGCTGAAACACAGTAGATTTGTTTACACCAAAATCACCACAGACAGCTGAGAAATACGTTGCAAGACATATTCACAACTTCAAAAGGGAACGTTTTATATATAGACATATATATATATATATATATAGTCTTATATATATAAATAGTTATATATATATATACCCATTATAGACCTATGGGGCCAGCAGTCTATACATTCAACCTTAGGAATACATTTTGGAGTCAAAAACTTGTTCTAAAGTAAGAGTTTTCTTAGCATATATTAACTTTGTAAAATAGTGGGTTTCATTGTGGCATTTCCATACATGCAGATAATATACTTGGATCATAATTATTCACCCATTTCCCTCTTTTGTTCTATTCTCCTTTCCCTCTGATCAACTTTCTAAAGCAATGATGTTGTAAGGATGAGTTTTCTGAATTGGTTTTTGAAGTTTCTAGAATTAGCTCTCTAATTTTATTAGAGTTAGCATTGATATACCCTTGAGCTGGGAAATTGATCTTTCTGTCCTTGGCCTTCCTGGCTCTCCTGTCTTTAGACTTATGCTAAAATCTCTTTCATCCACTCTCTGATTCTCAGGCCTTTGAACTACATCACTAGATTTTCTTAATACACAGTTTGTAGATAGAGATCATAAGACTTCTTAACCTCCATCATCACATGAGCCAATACTTTGTAATGCATATGTCTTATACATAATAAAACAAATATAAAACATCAAAATTAATAGGGAAGTTAATATATAAATAGAAATAATAGGAATTGAGTCCTGCACATGTGCACATACAGGATTCTTTCATTCCCTGGAAATACCCTGAGAATTCCTAACCTTTTATCTGTAGCTGGCATGAATGCTCTACACAATCAGGAAGTAAAGGCTAAGGCAGCCTTGTAAATTCCCCTAATTGATCTACAGATTTAGCAACATCTGACGCCCTTCATCTGACAAGGAATTAATTATCTAGGACACACAACAATAAATACCAAAAATAAGTAAATAAAGTTGCTAAATGGGCAAATAAATTGAATAGTTCCCAAAATGATCAGTAAACTGTCTAGCAACTATTTAAAGAAATATTCAGTGTCCTTAGCCATAAAGAAAATACAAATGAAAACAACAGTAAGCTTTCAATTTGCCCTACTCAGAATGGCTATCATCAAGGAAACAAGCAATAAATGTCGGTGAGGAGGCAGAGGGAAAAAAGACATTTACAGTTCACTACTAATGGAAACATAAATGAGTTGTGTGCAATCACTATGGAAGGCATATGGAGGTTCCTCAAGAAACTAAAACTAGAAGTTCAATTTGATCCTGCTATACTACTCCTGAACATAAATCCAATAGAATGCAAATCAGCAGATACTATAGACACATGCATTCTCATATTTATTGCAGCACTGATTAGAAAAAAAACAGATAAGGAGTCAGAGCAGGTGACCACCAAACCATGAGAACCTAGGATTACAGGCATGCTCAATGTCTTCCCTAGGCTTCAAGAGTCCGTTCTTTTAGGAGTTCCTCTCTTTCTACCCTTCCCCCTTCTCTCTGTCTTGCATCTGCCTTCTAAACTGGGTAGAGAAGAGATTAGAGAAAGCTAAAACCTGTGAGAAAGATTGTTTTAACCTTTACAAAAGAGTACAGGACATCCTGCCATAGGCAGCAACATGAATGAGCGAGCCTGGAGAACCCTAAAAATAAGTAAAATAATGTCAGTCATAGAAGGACAAATACTGCCCCATTCCACTTAAACTGAGGTATCTATTTTATACTTGGACTGATTGATTAAAAATACTAAAAGATGCTGGGCGTGGTGGCTCACACGTAGAATCCTAGCTACTCAGGAGGCTGAGAACTGAGGATTGTGGTTCAAAGCCATCCTGGGCAAGAAAGTCCATGAGACTCTTACCTTCACTACACCACCAGAAAAAAAAAAAAACAGAAGTGGCCCTGTGGTTCAAATGGTAGACCACTAACCTTGAGCTGAAGAGCTCAGGGACAGCACCCAGGCCTGGAGTTCAAGCTCCACAAGCGACAAAAAAAAAAAAAAAATACTAAAAGAGAAATATAATTTAACCTTCTACAAAAATGGTAAATCCATATGGATCTATATGGATCATAGTCTGGTTTTTTGGTCAGTCGTAGCTGGGCCTGCTATCATTCTAATCCATAAAGTGACAATCATAAGAATATCTTCTTCACATGGCTTATGAAGCTCACATGACATAATGGTATAAGAGTGGTTGCGTTCACAGTTAAGCTCATATGCATTTGCAGATACTCATAGTATTATCAGCAGGTGAGTAATTCCATTGTCATTTTCATTTTGCTGAAGAGGCAGCTGAGGACACCATTGATCTGTAGTAGATTCATCCTACCAGCCACGTTGACTTCACAGGATCCCATACTACGTTAGTGAGAGGAAAAGCTATAACTTAGCTTCAGAGTTTTCCTCAGAAGATATATTAAATACATATCCTTTGTCTTCTTTGGAGTTACTTTTGTCTAAGTCATACCTTCTCTGTGTGAGTAATATTTTACGTCTTGGTGAGTCACTCATTTATCCATGCGAATCAGATCACACCCACCTCTGTGTGAGTTCTTTCATGAGTTCCATGTGCATTAAACATTGCCTCTATTGGAGGAACAGAGATGATCTCCCCCGCCCCTTGCTCCATTTCCCTTGCTCTCCTCTCTCCTTCTTTTTCCTCTCCTTTCCCTCCACCCTCTTATCCTTCTCCTCTCTCTCTCTCTTGCTCTCTTCTCTCCCTTCCACTCTCCCCTTCTCCCCTGTCTGCTCTTCTCCTTCTCCTCTTTCTCCCTCTCTGTCCTCTTGCTTTGTAAGTCAGACAAAGGAGAGATCAGTGGGACATTCAATCTGTAAAGAATTACTTCAGCAGCAGGTCCTGGAGAGAGAGTGCCTCCTAAATCAGAAAGGCATGTATTCATATTAT